CTTTTGTCCTTTAGGATCTGAATTCGGATAGTGGCGAAGCGTTGTTAGTTACGAAAAGGTGTGGTTCTTGCTATATTCCTTCTGATATCCGAAGGTGGAGACAAGTTGGTTAGTAATGGGATTGATGGGTAGTCCGTCTCGATACCTGCAAGCCTAAAGTAATCGTCTGGTTTTCTTTGAGCGATTTAGCAGAATGTCCTACTACCGAACATCAGGATCATACTCCAAATTATCCCCCCCTAATACACAGCTTTATTTGGACGTTTTATTTTGGGTTCAAATTTTAAGTCTATTTGTCGATATCGTTAGATTACGTCTTTTAAACTAATTTGAATTGATATGACTATTGTATGGAACTGGGACATACCTTGGAAACAAGGAGTGAACGTTTTGAAAGATGATACATAATTCAAAAGTGAGGGTTCTGAGGCTGTTTTCGAGTTGTTTGGCGTTTGTGAAAATAAATGCAATGATAATTTGAGTGTTCATAGTATGAGTTGCAATTGGTTTAGTTCTGAAAACCTTAAATTAAGTAATGGATTGCCCAAAAATAAATAAATAGAAAGGAGGTTGGAATCGGAGAAGGAGCTTGAGATGTTGGATATTTCAAACGATGTCTAGTTCGGTGATTTGTTATTGGGAAGAAGTTGACGGGTGGCTTATGGATAGTGTGGAGGCGAATCCTAAGGTGGGAGGGTATTTACAATATAATACTGGTTGTAACAGTGGTTTAGGAGAATCACCCAGAATTCAAGAAAGGACAGTGGGCCCATTGTGACAGGGATACACTGTCTTTTATCATTAACAGTGTCGATTTACCCGAAATTGATATTAAGCACTTTAATGGACAACCTGTCCAATAACACTATTTTATTACGGAGGTTACTGGCTTCATCGTAAGTAAATTGTCCACTGAGAGTCAATAGTAATCATGTGTAGTGCAATCTTCGCTAATCCTTCACCTCGACAACTGCTATAATACAAATCTTAACGGCGCATGAAATCAGAAGGCAAAAGGAAGCAGTAACTACAGTTCAATGTCAAATAACACAAGCCACAAAGCTACAAGCACATGAGTAAGTATCAGCGAGCTAGGGCGAGCAATTACATAGGCAAATTTATAGTCAAATTGTATAAGGGCGCGGCAAGACAAAGCAAAAGTTAATAATAGGATTTCAGTGCATATATATGTGGGGAGGAGGATGAATCATCAAATGATATTTAAGTAATCAAGGTTTTGGCTAGAGTCTGTCATGTGCTCTAGTGATCATAACAGTACAAAGATATATGCGAATCGTGAAAGAAGCTGGAGATAGCTGCTGAAGTAACGGGAATGCATCGGAACTCTCATTACCTTCCAAATCGAATATATCCAGTTGGAAGTGTTAAAGTGTATGTTATTGTTTGTCTAATCTTCCAATATAACTCAAATCAAAGAGGCTACAAATTAAAAAATATCCAGCTTCTCTTGTACTAGATACTAACTAAAGGCCTGGACAGGTAACTAGATAAATTGTTATACTTAATAGAAGCGCCTTCTAGCATGCAGACTTATTTGTCAATGTTTGAAGCTTCAGATTTCGCATTTCATTTATGTATATAGAATATTAGTGATTACCGAAGAAGCACAAACGGTAAAGTGCATTCTCACTGACTCTTATATACTGATCAAAAGCATGAGATTGCGAATAATAATAATAAAGGTTTTTGACTTGTTAAAAAATTTTTATTGCATGGTCGTCAACCATCTTATAACTATTTTCACCCTAATTGTTCACGGTCACGTATAATCAACTACATAAAATCAGCCTTCGAAATGGGCATCTTTATTACTGAAAACACTCTTAATGTTGACAATATTGTAAAATTAAGCAATAACTCTTAATTGTATTACAGATTGTGATACTCAACAACACACATTGTAAAGTGAGATCAACAAAACAAACACACAATAAGATGAAACGCTCACCACCACATTAACTTTCTTTGACCCTGTATGTCTTGTTTATCCACCAATCACAATTTTCTGTTCATTCTAAAATAATATTCACCTCGTTGACTCATTTTTCCTATGCTCTAGTTACTGTTCGAAACAGATAAAGTTTATTAGGCTAAATAGCTTGCTTCCTCTGACTATGACGAAACCAAGACTCTGTACTCGACATTAAGAAATCGCCTCCTAAAAATTTTCTCGTTTATTGTTAACACCGATTTTTAATGACACAAAGCACCTCCATTTTATTAAACATTATTATTTACAAAAATAACCTTCACATAAAAGGCTTTTACTTATTCCACTTAAATTATTTCTCATTTAATGAAGTGTAGACCTTTATTCATTCAGCAATGTTGGACCTTTAGATACAACAATCACAGTTTTTATTTGAAATCTGTCTCAATCGACAGGAAACGTGTCATCGTCACCAAGAAATAGTCAACAATTTTTCGAGCTAACTTTAAGTGACATACATAGTCGTTCTTATGGCAGCGAAATTATATGCACGTAATTTTTACCAGTTTTCCTTTGTCATGATACTTGTCAACTTCAATCGACACAACGGGATAAATTAAGTCCCGTTTCTAAGTGATATGCAAGAAAATTGATGCCTTTCTTCATCCCAATGTTTATTAACAGTCCGTTGTACCGAATGGCATTCGAATATAATTGACGTAACCTCTTTCTTAAATTACGAGACCATAAAATTCTAATATAACAATGCCGATTACAACTATGTACCATTGACAGCAAATTACCAAATCCATACAAGCAACAAATACTGTATTCCCTTACAACAAAGCCACACATTTCGAAACAAAGTTAACCAGCCACTTATTCTTAAATAATTCTAAATCGTAAGCTTAAAGTCTCATCAACAGGCTTCCGAAATCACAATAACCATAGAAATAATGTCGGCCAACAATAATAATTAGCGAGGTCATTTTTAAAACTGTAAACCTTATTGGACGGCAGGTGACAGTGAAATGGAATAAAGAGAATTAAAAAGTTTTCATTCATAGGTGCACAGTGCGTGAATCTCCATAAAAACCACTATGTTACTTAAATTATATATAAAATGTCACCTGTTATAAATTGATACTCAGCAACAAAAATAAAAGGAAATCAATATCACTCACCTATGCCTTGTGGGTTTTTAGTTGGTTAGTCACGACCATCAATAATGGGTTTAAAAATTTGAAAAGGACTAAAGTGGGGTTGCCTTTAATAGTTTCTAAAGAATTGTCTAATGCTCTGATTGAAGATTCGTTAGATGAATATGCTAAGTAGGGGTTTGAAAATTTAGCCCATAGAACCTTAAGTACAGGATGATTCAGACTTTCCTAAGGGAAGAATAGTTCTCGATGGCCTTTCGGTTATTCTGACGAATCATCTTATGGAATTTTTCTCTCTCACACCATTCAAAACTGGTGCGTTTTAAGTGATTTAATAGCAGTTCCTTAAGAGTTGTATGAGGGCGTGAGATAAGCTTTTCTGGATATGCTGAATTTTTAATAAACCGCAGGCTTCTTTGCCAATGAACGCGAGGAAATGTGTCGCAGATTTATCAGCCGTCACATCTCAAACCTTTCCAAATAATCCTCAAAAGGTTTAGAAGTTGAATGAATGCCCAACTGTTCCGTCACAGGCTCTATTGCTGCACCTATGTGACGATTAGGAGTATCTGAATTATGGAACAAACTAGTAATCTCAGAAATAACGCAATTTAATTAAGAGGCGATAGATGAGCATGAACGAATATATTGTATCTGGAATTCGAAATCAAGTAGTCATCAAGTACAAAAGAATCTTTAGTTCATACAAACACTACAGTAGCTTAAAAGTTTAAAGAAAAACTAAATACTAAAGAAAATAAAATTCTCAGAGGCTAATAAGTTAATAATTTTCTTTATTAGATAGTGGAATTCTGTATGTTTTGTTTTTCTCAACTATGAGTTTGTCAATTAAATGCACTTACACGTTGGTTTGTACTTTTTGCTAATAAGACTTGGTCCATAAATTCCATGATTCTAAACAAAAATATTCATTAGTCACCGAACTGATAAATGACTTGTGGTCATGCGCGCTGCTGAGGAGTCCCATATTAGGACGAAACGGCCTTCTAGTAATTCCAGATTTTACATGGTGGTCTAGTTTCGACCGACTCACGACTTCAACTACTGAATTACTATACTACCCACAAAATCCCTCTCTGATTATAATCTGATTTATTGTTTAATATTAAAACGTGTTTTTGCCTTCTGAAAGTAAATACGTTAGTTATGATTGCTTTAAATGAACTCTTAATCGAAAGTTACTAAGTAAAAAGAGAAAGCAAATATATCGACTATTTTTCATATCTGAACAACAGAGGTGATTGAAACTAAATTCCGAGCTTATTTGTTATTTCACGACAATAAAACATCATTGAATTTATTGAAATGTCTTATTATTGTGGAATTTATCCACAGAACTCAACCTTCTTGTTGTATGAATGAAGAGGGTAGAGAAACACTCATGATCTGTAGTAGTGAGATAGACAGACACCTTTGGTTTCATGTGAAATCATAGACTAATTATCAAGTTCCAATGTAAGTTTTCAGAGAAGGTTCTAAGCAGCTTTAAATATATATAATCATATAGCAAGCCCAAAAATATTGACCGATTGAATAACCATTGACTTTAGTAACAAAGTATACTTATCAAACTACGATTTATCTTTTCATTATAGTGCTGATCATACAAGTTCTGGTTTTCTAGAAGGTGTCTATGTATTAGTTCATAGCTCTGGTAGAGTATCATGGCCAATTCTAGTACAATTGAAAACATCTTGTAAAGTCGACATTACGTTGTTTCCATTCGACGACGAAAATTGTGAAATACAATTTGGATCATGGATGCATACATCTGATTGGATTGAATATAAATTTCAAATTAATCAACAACAACAACAAACAAAAACTGGAAATACTCTACAAAATTGTTACCTCCTTTAGCATCATTTATGTCAAATGACTCTAATCAGCATCTAAGTAAAGAAAAAAGCGATCATGACGAAGAAGAACAGGATGATGTTGATAGTAGTGATTTTGAAGATCATCTAACTAGAAATGCATTGGATACATCATCTTATTGGGATAGTACAGATTGGATGTTGAAACATGCTATATTATCTTACACCTACCGATCTACTGATACATTGACTGTTTGGAAACCAACCACGAGTATATCAAACATTCAGATTTATGATAACAAACTGGATAGTAGACAAACTGATTTAGTATTGAAATTGTTCTTACAAAGAAGAAGTTTTTTCTATATTTGGAATATTGTTATACCATGTATTCTATTAACATTACTTACATTAATTACATTTTGGACACCAATTGATTCAGGTGAAAAAGTTACATTAGGTTTATCAGTGTTTTTAGCTTTTTCTATGTTTATGATGTTGATGGCTGAACGTGTTCCGCCAACAGCTAAAAATATTCCACTTATAGGTGAGTGATATTGATTTCCTTTTATTTTTGTTGCTGAGTATCAATTTATAACAGGTGACATTTTATATATAATTTAAGTAACATAGTGGTTTTTATGGAGATTCACGCACTGTGCACCTATGAATGAAAACTTTTTAATTCTCTTTATTCCATTTCACTGTCACCTGCCGTCCAATAAGGTTTACAGTTTTAAAAATGACCTCGCTAATTATTATTGTTGGCCGACATTATTTCTATGGTTATTGTGATTTCGGAAGCCTGTTGATGAGACTTTAAGCTTACGATTTAGAATTATTTAAGAATAAGTGGCTGGTTAACTTTGTTTCGAAATGTGTGGCTTTGTTGTAAGGGAATACAGTATTTGTTGCTTGTATGGATTTGGTAATTTGCTGTCAATGGTACATAGTTGTAATCGGCATTGTTATATTAGAATTTTATGGTCTCGTAATTTAAGAAAGAGGTTACGTCAATTATATTCGAATGCCATTCGGTACAACGGACTGTTAATAAACATTGGGATGAAGAAAGGCATCAATTTTCTTGCATATCACTTAGAAACGGGACTTAATTTATCCCGTTGTGTCGATTGAAGTTGACAAGTATCATGACAAAGGAAAACTGGTAAAAATTACGTGCATATAATTTCGCTGCCATAAGAACGACTATGTATGTCACTTAAAGTTAGCTCGAAAAATTGTTGACTATTTCTTGGTGACGATGACACGTTTCCTGTCGATTGAGACAGATTTCAAATAAAAACTGTGATTGTTGTATCTAAAGGTCCAACATTGCTGAATGAATAAAGGTCTACACTTCATTAAATGAGAAATAATTTAAGTGGAATAAGTAAAAGCCTTTTATGTGAAGGTTATTTTTGTAAATAATAATGTTTAATAAAATGGAGGTGCTTTGTGTCATTAAAAATCGGTGTTAACAATAAACGAGAAAATTTTTAGGAGGCGATTTCTTAATGTCGAGTACAGAGTCTTGGTTTCGTCATAGTCAGAGGAAGCAAGCTATTTAGCCTAATAAACTTTATCTGTTTCGAACAGTAACTAGAGCATAGGAAAAATGAGTCAACGAGGTGAATATTATTTTAGAATGAACAGAAAATTGTGATTGGTGGATAAACAAGACATACAGGGTCAAAGAAAGTTAATGTGGTGGTGAGCGTTTCATCTTATTGTGTGTTTGTTTTGTTGATCTCACTTTACAATGTGTGTTGTTGAGTATCACAATCTGTAATACAATTAAGAGTTATTGCTTAATTTTACAATATTGTCAACATTAAGAGTGTTTTCAGTAATAAAGATGCCCATTTCGAAGGCTGATTTTATGTAGTTGATTATACGTGACCGTGAACAATTAGGGTGAAAATAGTTATAAGATGGTTGACGACCATGCAATAAAAATTTTTTAACAAGTCAAAAACCTTTATTATTATTATTCGCAATCTCATGCTTTTGATCAGTATATAAGAGTCAGTGAGAATGCACTTTACCGTTTGTGCTTCTTCGGTAATCACTAATATTCTATATACATAAATGAAATGCGAAATCTGAAGCTTCAAACATTGACAAATAAGTCTGCATGCTAGAAGGCGCTTCTATTAAGTATAACAATTTATCTAGTTACCTGTCCAGGCCTTTAGTTAGTATCTAGTACAAGAGAAGCTGGATATTTTTTAATTTGTAGCCTCTTTGATTTGAGTTATATTGGAAGATTAGACAAACAATAACATACACTTTAACACTTCCAACTGGATATATTCGATTTGGAAGGTAATGAGAGTTCCGATGCATTCCCGTTACTTCAGCAGCTATCTCCAGCTTCTTTCACGATTCGCATATATCTTTGTACTGTTATGATCACTAGAGCACATGACAGACTCTAGCCAAAACCTTGATTACTTAAATATCATTTGATGATTCATCCTCCTCCCCACATATATATGCACTGAAATCCTATTATTAACTTTTGCTTTGTCTTGCCGCGCCCTTATACAATTTGACTATAAATTTGCCTATGTAATTGCTCGCCCTAGCTCGCTGATACTTACTCATGTGCTTGTAGCTTTGTGGCTTGTGTTATTTGACATTGAACTGTAGTTACTGCTTCCTTTTGCCTTCTGATTTCATGCGCCGTTAAGATTTGTATTATAGCAGTTGTCGAGGTGAAGGATTAGCGAAGATTGCACTACACATGATTACTATTGACTCTCAGTGGACAATTTACTTACGATGAAGCCAGTAACCTCCGTAATAAAATAGTGTTATTGGACAGGTTGTCCATTAAAGTGCTTAATATCAATTTCGGGTAAATCGACACTGTTAATGATAAAAGACAGTGTATCCCTGTCACAATGGGCCCACTGTCCTTTCTTGAATTCTGGGTGATTCTCCTAAACCACTGTTACAACCAGTATTATATTGTAAATACCCTCCCACCTTAGGATTCGCCTCCACACTATCCATAAGCCACCCGTCAACTTCTTCCCAATAACAAATCACCGAACTAGACATCGTTTGAAATATCCAACATCTCAAGCTCCTTCTCCGATTCCAACCTCCTTTCTATTTATTTATTTTTGGGCAATCCATTACTTAATTTAAGGTTTTCAGAACTAAACCAATTGCAACTCATACTATGAACACTCAAATTATCATTGCATTTATTTTCACAAACGCCAAACAACTCGAAAACAGCCTCAGAACCCTCACTTTTGAATTATGTATCATCTTTCAAAACGTTCACTCCTTGTTTCCAAGGTATGTCCCAGTTCCATACAACAGTCATATCAATTCAAATTAGTTTAAAAGACGTAATCTAACGATATCGACAAATAGACTTAAAATTTGAACCCAAAATAAAACGTCCAAATAAAGCTGTGTATTAGGGGGGGATAATTTGGAGTATGATCCTGATGTTCGGTAGTAGGACATTCTGCTAAATCGCTCAAAGAAAACCAGACGATTACTTTAGGCTTGCAGGTATCGAGACGGACTACCCATCAATCCCATTACTAACCAACTTGTCTCCACCTTCGGATATCAGAAGGAATATAGCAAGAACCACACCTTTTCGTAACTAACAACGCTTCGCCACTATCCGAATTCAGATCCTAAAGGACAAAAGTTGGATTGTTCTGTCCGACAAAGTTAGATTGTGAAGCTCAATTCTTTCTGATATTTATATGTTTTCTGTTGATTCTTCAAGCTAAAGAAGACGATATAGAAAAGGGGACCATATTGAAACATTGAATTTTCTCTGGTGCTAACATCACATTAATAATGTTTTACATGCTAGAAGGCGGTGTGGGACATTCGTTTCAAATGCCTATGTGTGGTAAGCGTTCTGGTCACTTATGTTCCCAAAAGTCATATGTGTGATATTTTTGGTCAGAAATTATTTTTAATCCTTTTCGACTGATGAGTTTGTGCTGTCATGGACAAGTGATCATCTCGATGACTAGTGTTGTGAAATATGGGTGTTAAACTTTGAGTCGTCATGGTCTGAAAATTATGCTTAAGACAGACTTTGCTTTCTGCTTTCAGATGTAAAGTAACACAGTTTAAGCTATGTTTGAAACTAATTTTGCGGACAATCTAACTGCCTTATTTAATCATGATATTTTAATGTAAAATCTGATCGGGTTTCTAATATTTGCTAACTGCTTGGTGACTAAGAATAGTTATCACCGATATGCATAATGAAGGATTAAGGTTCGTTTATAATGGACTGCCAATTAATCTAACGGTTCTCTATATACACTTGGGATTTGACGGTGTTCTAATGGTAGTGGTATCCAACATAAAATCTTAATGACTTGTGGACAGGACGTGCGTGTCAGTTTCAGTTTGCAAAAGACAGAAGTCTCTCTGGCCTATGTTATTCCTGGCAGTCATGATTCCTTAGTTGATCCAAATTTCCTTTGAAAACGTTGACAGGTGGAGCTTCATTCATGCGTTACGGTAATGAATTCCACTCGTTGATAGTTCGATGGGAAAGTCGATAGTTAGCTGACAAGTAATATGTTCTGGGCTTGTGAACGTTTTTGGAGTGTCCTCGTAAATTCTCTGTTTTAAAAGACGAAAAATAAGACCATATCAGCTGCGAATTTACCACTAAGTGATTTGAGAACTGCAATCAAGTCGCCTCCAGTTCTTCGATATGACAACGGAAATAGGTTTGGCTTGGCCAGTCGAGTACCACACAGGAGCTTTGCTATTCCGGGAATCAGCTTAGTTGCTGTTCTATAGATTCCCTAGCAATTTTTTCTTTGTACAACCTTCTAGATGATCGAAGCATGTGTATTCTGAGCTTCTCGTTGTTTAGGTTTTGCATCATCAGCCCGCTGTAACATAAATCTAGCCCACGTTCTTTTACACAGAAGGGTGCGAACCCCCCCTACTGAACCATGGTGGAGAGTTTTTCGGACTGCCTGGCGTAGTACAATGGATTTTAACGCTTTTGAGGATTTCATGGAGAGGTTCGAAATCTTGGCTTTGATCAAGGAAGATTATGAAGATTTTAATATTGTGGCCCACTTCCTTACATTCATCGGAAAAGAAACATACAGCCTTATAAAGACCTTGGCACTACCAGACAAACCGATATCACTCCCCTATGCAACTCTCAAGCAACTACTGTTGGATCATGTAAAGTATAGAAATTCAGAATGCGGTAAGAAAGAAGGATCCGATAAAATGACTCGCCAGAACATCAGGAATTCCACTTCTTTCCTACGTCGTTGCAGTTCGATTTGTATTCAGAGCTATCCAGATAATAATTCATTGAGCTGTGAAATAGTCCATGAAGATGAGCACGAGTTATGTAAATGCTTGTTCTGCGGCAAGTTTCACCCATGCAATTCAGGTGTATTTCGTAATTATAAATGTCTTAAATGTGGTAAAACTGGATGCATTCAGTCAGTTTGTAATACCATGATTCATTTCGCTGAAAGTAATGCTAGGATGAATATTTCTAATGATCACTTACCTTTATCTCG